ATTAGTATCATCTCTGGTAGATGTTAGTACTACTGGAGAAAAGTAATCCAACTAATAGAATGTGAGCAAAGTACTGTATTTTGTTGACATTTGATTTTAATGCAGGAGTTAGTATAATTCCTGTTTTCCTTCAAAGCATTAATATCAGTTTCAACGGGAAACATCAGAATGCTGTGTCACTGCATGTACCCAACACAAGTTAAAATCAACAAACAGAGAAGTAAAGGCAGATCTGGATGTCACCTTATTTCCACAGATGACTGCCACATTAAATGCATTAACACTTGCAGAGTACCCAAATACCGTGACAAAGACAGAAGCTGGTAACCAGCAAATCTGCATTCAGCTCCGTGTTTTCCTGGAGTCTATTATAAAGATAAACCAAATCTATTTACTGAGTAATTAGAAAGAAGAACAATAAATGAATGCTCTTTCACAGAGTAGCCCTTCAGGGGACAACCCCAAAGAGGCTGTGAAGTGTTTATTCTCTTATGGTTTGCATCCTGGGAGATGTGCAAGAGATTAGAAAGTTTATCCACTGTGAGCTGCTCACTGTTGCAACTTGCCCAGTTTCCCCACTGCCCGCAGAGTCAAATTTCCAAGCTTCACAGGACAGCTCATAAGATCTAATTGTCTCTTGACTCTCTTCCTGGTCAGATCAGACTTTTAAAAGTTCCTTTAATGTGTCAAGCAAAGATAGCATCTTCTCTGGGAAAAGCAAAAGGCTGGAGCTTGTCATGAACAAGGACTATTCATAGGTCACAGGCCCTAGGGGAAAGCCACAGCACTGAAGAAGAGTTCAATATGATTCTATAAATATTTATGAACAGCAAATACTTACAGGCTACATCTGTATTAGTAAACTAGAAAGAGTGAAAGAATAGTCCACTGTCAGTCTAAATCATAAGGCCTGTGCCAGCTCATGCTCTCCCAGACACATCTGCCACTTCTCAGGGTTCACTGCAGGCTAGGCACCATTTCATGCAGGCAGACTAGATGCAGGCACTCTTTTTTGGGGGGAAATATAAGCTAAGCTATACTAAGGCAAACTGAGCTGTGCCAGTTGGCTTCAGGCAAGTAAAGAGACCTTGGCTCAGAACATTTCATTTATTTATTTAGTATAGGTGTTGCTCAAGTCTGTGCCAAGTGACACGTTCTCCAGCTGAAGCACAGCACACTTCTCCCTTACCGTATGATCTGATGTCTAATGAAAGCACATGAGATACACCACAGCTTTCACAACAGCCAAGGGTAGGTGCCAGTTGCAGAGGTGTATTCTTGATATGCAAAGGACACATACTGGAAGCAGAAAGATGTTTGGTAGCTGCTGAAATCAAGAGGCCTCCATGACTTCTGAGTGACTGTGAGCCCATTCCTG